TTTCCCTTCTTCCTTTCATTGCAAAAACATTTGAACGAGCTGTGTTCAACCAAGTATCTGCATTTCTCACACAGAACAACCTCCTGGACAGCAACCAATCTGGTTTCAGAGGTGGACATTCAATTGAGACTGCCTTGCTCTCAGTTGTTGAAGCCCTAAGACTGGCAAGAGTGGCTTCCAAATCTTCTATACTTATCTTGCTGGATCTGTCCGCTGCTTTTGACACGGTTACCCACCAGATCCCCCGGTCAACCCTATTGGCAAAGGGCATCTCAGGAACCACACTCCAGTTGTTTGAGTCTTACCTCTCATATAGGTCCTTCAAGGTATCTTGGAGAGGTGAAGTGTCCAAGTCACAGCTCAGAAAATCGTATATCAGATGTTTAAACAAATATGGTTTAAAACGCATGATTTCAGCACAATAAACATGATAATCAGAACCAAAACAGATGTTTTTTTTAGCAGGTACAGGCTGTAATTGCACAGCTCTATTCTGGAAAAGGGGGTGGGGAGAAGCAGCTCATTTGCATTTAAAGAGACAGGCCCTAAAAACAGCGTGTTTCTGCTTCCACTCAAAATAAGCATTTTCAAAATGAATGAATTAATAATAATTAATTCCCTTAAAATTAAGTAATCAGTTATTACAGCACATCAACCATAACTCCTTCAAAAACAGACAGAAACATTGGAGTTGTGATTGATGATCAGCTGACTTTAGAGTGTGCTCGGCCACACATCGTTCACTGTTCTGTCCTCCTGGGTGGATCCCCATCCTGTTAAGGACACATCTGGCGTTACCACTTTCTGCAACATGATAGCCCCCAGGGGATCGCATGAGCATAAACTCTGCATTCCTCCAGTGCCACAGCACTGCTGTGCACGAGCGCGTCACTGTGAGAGTAGGGGTGGGTGATATGACCAAAATCTTATATTTATCTTATATTTATATAACGATATATATCGCAGTATAGTTATTTTTTTTCTTTTAAAAAGGTTTTTATGATATTAAAATCTTTAATACCATATAATGTTCATAATCCTTGTCACCAATGTCAATATCAAACTAATACAAGCCTAAAAAGAGACAAAAAAAAAAATCTCAAGCTCACTGAGGATAAATAAACACTCAGTGATGAAATAAGGATAAGAAAGTAATTGCAAGCAATAAGACAAAAAACGTCTCGGTTTACTTATGTAACCATGGTTCCCTGAGTAGGGAACGAGACACTGCGTCCTCTAGGGTTCGCTATGGGGAACGCCTCGTCGTGACCCGTGTCTGAAGCATACATTGAAAAAAACACCAACAACACGTTGGCCAGCGACAGCCATGACGTCACTACCGGTGCGACTATAGTATAAATAGGGGCCGGGAGCACACATCATTCACTTCTTCGTCTGAAGCTTGCGTCCTCAGCATGGCAAGAAACCTAGAGGACGCAGTGTCTCGTTCCCTACTCAGGGAACCATGGTTACATAAGTAACCTGAGACGTTCCCTTTCAAGGGAACTTCGAACTGCGTCCTCTAGGGGTCGCTATGGGGAACGGTATACCCACGCTGCCATGCTGAGGGGAGTGCATGCCAGGAACCATGGCGAGCACTAAGTACCAACTCTACCATAATGCCATGGACGTTAGATGGCTGTCAGTGACATTATCCCCTACGGCCAAAGACCTAGGCTACATATGTTAGGGCCAGAACTCCTGGGCCCGGGGTAGAGCTCAAGGCTTGGAATCAAGAATAGATTCCTTTAAGGGAATATGACCAAGAGCCTAGAGTCATACTAGTCTTGGCCTGTCACACAGGGGCTACCGCACTCTGTATATGCTGAAGGACTGTCTCAACAGACC